CCTCTCTCTCTCTCTCTCTCTCTCTCTCTGTGTGTGTGTGTGTGTGTGTGTGTGTGTGTGTGTGTGTGTGTGTGTGTTATGCACCCGGAAAAGAGTCCTTAACGGTTGTCTTTTGTTTTGGATTTAACACTCTGAATAAGAATAACATTACCAGTCTCTGGTCATGGTTCACAACTGACCAATGCAAGGGAATAAACCAAGATAGACAGAAAAACTTGCTGTTGAAAATAATATTTTCCACACACTGTCCACTTACTTTCCAATCTGACCCCTTGGATCTGACTGAACTTACAGCTTTAATGACACTGTGCTGGGGTCATGGAAAGAAAAACTGATACCTTACCACTTTTCACGAAAGACTTCGAAAAAGGACACAAAAAAACAACTATAGATCTATTTGTTCGAAGTTCTGCATTTTGCTGGTTAAATTTTGCATGAATATCAGCACAGAAACATCAGTCTAAATTGCTATTGATTTTAGACTTTTCTTTTACCAAAAATTCAGTCACAAAGGAATTGAAAGTCTGGCGCCACGATTTCGTTTAAATGCAAGGTTCACAAACACACATACACACACACACACACACACACACACACACACACACACACACACACACACACACTTTTGAAACCAGGAAAATGAACTCACCTATGCGATGCATATTTAGATCTATACATGTCGATACATTGTGTCCTCCGGTTTTTATCTTGAGCAAATATGCCGGTTTACTCTTTGGTTTCAACGGTGCATCGTTCTTGAAGAACCAGTCATGATTAAAACATCTCTTTTGCTTTCCATCCAAAATAGGATGCGAAAATTCTGCTTTTTGATGTGGTACTTGACAGTGAGCTTAGCTTCTCGTAACAAAAAACGAAAGTGAATATCTAATAAGTATTCTTCACACCACATTGCTGCATTGAAGAACAAACATTAGATTCCAGTTTGAAGCTATCTCAACTCACTGATACAATACAACGGCGCTTCTTTAAGTCTAAGCGTACTGACACCATCACTCAACCACGGAAAATACACAGAGCCAAGGGGAAAAGGAGGGGGAGGGAGGGCGTGCTCAGTATAAGGTTTGATCTGGAGCCGCGAGGGTGTGCAAACTAGATCAAGCGTCAAGCCATGTCTGGGTACTTTCGACAGCGCAGCTTCAGCCCCCGAGCTTAATAGAACCATTAAGTTTCTTTGTATCGACCTTGAGTCATACAAGGTCAGTACCCCAGTGATATTCAGTCTGTGGGAACTTACGCGCTGGGGCTTAGGGACAAAACAATGAAATTTCATTCTCCCCGGCGGAAGAAGCACCTAAGTGGATGGATATACAGTCGGAGAAAATAGTAGTAGACACACAGACTAATCAGATCAAATTTCGAGTTATTGTGCACCAGGAGTCTCGTTTGGGTGTTCGTGGAGTTTCGCTTTTTATCGGAATACATTTAATGTTTTGTCCCTTTAAATGTTTTGTTTTGATCTTAGTCAGAGAAGTAACTTTATGGTGAAAAAACGAGGTAGGACTGAAGCTGCAAGCCCCCCCCCCCCCTGCAGAAACCACTGGTTGCAACCCCTATGTCTGAGTAACTTATTATAAAGATCTTTGGATGCTCTGATGGAGGTGTAATATAAAGTCTTCTTTGTATATTATATTCTTTTCTTGCTTTTCTTCCCACCAGATTACTGCACAGTGGTGTCCAATATCGAAGTGTTTGTTCGCATCTATTCATTGATTTGATGTTTCCTCACTTGAATAGACCCTTTGTATAGACATTTCTAAAAATTGGCGGAGTTCACTTTCTTTATTCTATACCTCCTGGCTCAGCACCCCACATTTAGTAGAGCGTTGAGCGGACAAAACACATAATTGATGAAAGTAGGCTTATAATTGTATTTGTATTTATCAGTAATTCGTATTCATAAACAATCTCGTTTACTTTCAAATTATGGATTTGTATTTGTTTTGGTTGCAGTTCCCGGTCATGTTTGGAAAATCAAGAACTCGTTTCGCGTGAAGCTGACCTCTAGCTCTGTGATCGCTGTATGGGATGGATCTGTTCATAATGATGCTGTCGGAGGCGATGATCTACATGTGACTGTATTCTGGTGCAAGGGTGTACGCCCCGACAACTTGTGTCAGGTCAGTGTGGAGTTTGTGTATCATTAACTTACTCAGTGGCTTTATACATATTTGACACAAGGTGTGACTCTTTGTCTCGATTGTCCGTGCTCTCTGAACTAATTTAACTGTATTAAATTGTAATGATTACAATGTAGTACTGAACGAAGAGAAACACGTGTGAGTTACATAATATAATTGAGGACGTTTAAAAAAAATTAATTAAAATGATAAAAAATCATGATGCAGTGGTTCTTCTGGAAAAAATAATCTCCTCCATAGCTGTCTGGGGGAGGGGATGAGGGTTACTATAGATGCCAAATTTGGCTAATTTGTAATGAAACTAGATAGTGACTGAGAGAAGCTGCGACAGGCCACAGACTTGGAGTTCTGATACAGCAGCAAACTGTTATTGCAGTAGGCCTAGATGACCGTTCTTTATCATGTTGGGAGTGTTGGTATGGGACGTGGAGGGACTGGTGCAATGAGATAAGTCTCAGTTTTCACACTTCTAGTTTCAGTTTTTGCTTCAGGGATAATACTAATAGAAAAATGTGTGCTGCATTTGCTTTTATGTTTTATTGCTAGTTCCTGGTTCATTTGCCTTACAGAAACCTTGTTAGAATAGACTTATTGATACATTTTATAGTGGGTTACTTATCAGCTAGCTGCTATATATCATTATTTTTGGGCACTTGTTGGTCTATGGACGTAAGTTAGAAAAGTATGCCCACGATGCTACCGCCGTTATCTGAATATTACTGACCAACACGTAATTGCCATGGAATTTGAGAGTGATAGTAGTGATAATGGTTTTTTGTGATCTCAAAAAGTGCTGATTTTCTTGAGCTGTTGGCTTATATCCTCTGTATCTCATTTTTTTCTCTTTTAGATGGATTGGTGATCTATCTGATTGTTATACTTTTTGGATTTTTTTTTTTTTGGTAGGAAAAGAGATGTAATCTGTGCTGAAGAAATCTCTTGTCAGTCTCAGGTGTTAATGTAGGCCTACTTTGTGTGCTTTCTGTGAAGTTCAAATGTTCTATGTGTCACGACACAGGAATCAGGCGTTCGTCATTTTTGGGGGCATCTGAGGTTATTGAATTGGTATAATCATAAAACTTGTTTTCTATCTTGCTTTCAATTGAAAACTATCCATATATATATTATCTTTAAAAAAAAGTCGAGATATTCACGATGAAATGGGGTTTGAGTCGTCTGGGGTCAGGGGTAAAATTAGCAAGAAAATGTTTGCAAAATTTATGTGAATTCCAAAGCTGCAGAGTCTTTGGAAACTGCAAATTGACTTTTTGTGCCCTTTCTCAACATTTTGCTGTAAAATCCACACAGAAATGTACTTTTGAATGGACACAAAAGGTGTTGAAGAAAATAAAATCGATAAAAATTGTGCCCAAGTGACGAAAAAAATGTCTTTTATTTCATTTCTTTTTGACGAGTGCTCATTTAAATTTCACCATGATGCCTCTCTCTCTCTCTCTCTCTCTCTCTCTCTCTCTCTCTCTCTCTCTCTCTCTCTCTC